CTAGCGAGCCGTGCCCTTGCCTCGGCCGCTCAACTTCGCCGCGATCTTTCGCAGCCTCGCTTCGGAGATTTCGCTCTACGCCGCCGAATCGAAGCTGCGCTCCCGAGGGCGTTGTTGAGCAACTGATCAGCAACGCACGTTTGCTGCGGCGGCCGGCGGCTAAGTTCAAATTCAAATATATTATATTCTATTCCTTATTTGAATAAATGTTTAATAATACTGATGTTAGAAACGGCTCCTAGCCTTCTTTACTACTAACTGACAAAGCAATAAATTATAAATCTAACGGCTCCTTGCCTTTCCTACTACTAATACTTATGCTACTTAAAACTAACAAAACAATGAAACTATTAATCTAACGGCTCCTTGCCACGAAACAGAATTTTGGGGTGGCCATTCTGGGTAGCCGCCTCACAAGCCCTTAATATTTACCCAATTGTTTAAGAAAACAGGATTTCGATTCTTATCGATTCCTTGGAAACGGGGCAAGTTATTGAATATCGGAAACAAACTCGATCTGCGCGGGCACATTTATCAGGAGCTAAAATTTCTCTAGTTATTAAAGGTTCTGATATCCTTGCGTTCATACATACGGACGGGCGGTCGGAGAGCCGGGCGGACGGAGGGACAGACAGAGGGACATGGCTAGGTCGACCTGGCTATTCATGCTGAAATTCGACACCAGGTTATTTCCCGATGAGTTTCGTTGTCTTTTTCAATTTCGGTCGGCCGGACGTCGTCTGGTTCTATTTCTATTATTATTTTTATTTTTATTTCTATTTTTATTAAAGAACTTGAGAGCGCAAATGAATTGGTAGCAACAGTTGGATGAAACAAATTTTGTGGGGGTGCAGCAAAACACTTGATCGCTGGCATAACTGTTTTAATTGGAGCGCTTAGATATTTACACAATGAATAGCGTGAAAAAGATATCCTGGTCTTTTGAAGTTTTATTTATTTATATTTGTTTTATAGTAGTTGCATAAGTTGAAGTTTGTACCGAGAAACTCTATGTTGTTGCCTCAAAGCTATTATGTGGATTTTGACGATAGGGATCAAGTAAGTAATTGTACTATTAGCATATTTTGGTTTTAAATCAGTTCTTGCAAAAATGTCAAAATCTCTTTCATTATTTTTTTAACATCACAACTTCAATGTAAGTCAGTTGTTGCAGCTTCAGATGTATGTTCCCCTTTTTTGAGGAATTAGGAAATCTTACCACCAATTATTGCTACTAGTTTATTCATTATTGCACTTAAGCTTTGCTCTTGTATGTACGTATATTGGTGTATGCTTTAATTTTAAAGCTCCCCTTCTATTATTTGGCGTGTCGCTTAGAGGGTGCCTCAAGTGCTTCGCTATCATCATTGCTACGGTTATTTTTTGGCTGATTACCAGCCTTTTAGCTTCGTGTACTAAGTTTATCCTTTGCACGAGCCTTGTCCGCCTTTTATTTTGTTTTGGTTCCTCTTTTTGTATATGGTTGTAAAAGCCGGCATTGGAACTGGAGCTTGTATTTGATATTTCCGCCGAAAATTAATCTGCATGTGTTATTTCCGTAAAGGTTGAATGCTATTTTTGCTGTCAAAAGTGTTTGCATAATGTACTAACTCAATTGTACATAAGTCTTTAAAAAGATGATTTTCGTTGGAATGCCATAAGCGGATATGAAATTTGTAATAGAGCTTACAATATTTATTGTGTGTCTAATCAAAATGTTATAATCTGTTGTATTTTCTATATAAGAAGTTTGTGAGTGTTGAAATTTTATATTTTGGGGATGTAGACCTATTTGAGAACTGAGCAGATTGACTTATTGTCTGCGGATTTTTGTGTTTCATGTAAGGCAATTTTTTTTTTCTTTTAAATGGACTTTCATTTTGTCGATACTCCTATTTTTGAATTCTCCATAGTATTTTTATATCCTGAACCCATTGAAAATGGAAAAAAATCGTGTAATGGTTTTGTGTAAGTGTATATAACAGGCAGAGGGATGCATCTCCTCCCCATAAAATATATATAATAATACTCAGGACCATAAGTAACTGGCAGCCCCGGGTGATTGGGCAGATTTGATATGAATAAGCAGCCACATATTACGAGTGAACGCGCCTCAATCAAGATTTATTGTGATATTCGATAGGTTTTTTTTCTGGGGGTTTTGGCTGTTAAATTTCTGGTAATAACATGGTGGCTCTGGCTTATACCGACATGCGGATATAGCGAAACAGCTAGTCGGATGTTTTGCAATCAATTAGTACTAATGGGATTGTTCTGCTTATGCATGTCTTTGTGGGGTGATAGTCTGGCTTATAGCACTTTATTTCACTTGTGGCATTATATGTGCAGGGTCAACGTCTCGTTGAAGAAAATTATTTATTACATGCCCTCTTTGGTGAATGTACTCCCAATTCGTTATCTATTGTGCAGCTCAAGTCTTTTAATTATTGCATTTATTAAACGCCGCGTCAGTTCCGTGTTGTTGTTATTACCTCTTTTGATTATTTTGCTTTGGTGCTCCCCTGTGCTTACACTTGTTTGTGTGTGTTTTCGCTGCTGCATTCATAGTCTTGTAGTAATTGTGTGGTGCTGTAAGAAACCTTGCATGTTCATGAAGGCTGATGAATTTGCTTTGCCGCAATTTTTTAATTGCTGGCTGTGTGCAGGTCTCACTTGGCGTGATTGCGACAAGATCGCTGCACTTGCCAAGAAGGGCTGCGGCGGCTTGCGCTTGCATCGACAAGCAAATTGATTTCTCCAGAATGTATAATTCAATCAAATCAAAATTGAATAATGTGGCTAAGCAGCTCTCGAGTAATTTTGACTCGAGTTTTGAGTTGCTTGGCAAATATAAATTCGTCTGCCCTCTACGTCTGTTCAGACACCTTCGCCTTTCTTGTTCCTACCTAGCAAATTGGATTTATCTCCAATGTTGTCTTTATCGCCTTCTCCGAGCGACTGCCCAATTACCCCTGTTTCAACGCCTGTAGTAGTTCCAGTAGAGCCCATAGCTGATCCTGTCCCAGTTATCCAAACTGCCTCAGACCCGTCAGCTCCTGGCGGCAAAGATAGACCTGCGCGCAATCTTACCCAGATTGTTAATTTCTCCTCCCCCCGTGCAATATCATCATGACCAGCACTTCCTTCGACTCGGATAAAAAAGTATTTTCAGAAACATGGTTAAATTCAACCATATCTGATTTGGAGGTTTTTTCGAAAATTTCTATTTGGGATACAAATGATCGGCCGACTCGAGGTGGTGGGGTGTTAATTGCCGTTAAAGCCACTCTCCAGTCTGAACTTTTCTGTTTTAGTACACCTACTGACGCTGAGATTATCTCAGTTAAGGTGTCTTTTCCTACACGGAATGTCTATGTAACATGCTCTTATGTCCCACCTTCTTCTGATATTCAAGTTTATATGAAACATATTACTTGTATTGAAGAAGTTTCTTCACACGTGCGTGATAATGACCTATTTATTGTGTTGGGTGATTTTAATTTGCCTAACATCTCTTGGTCATTATTTACTGCCACAAATTATCTAGTGCCCTCAGCACAGCACGATTTTATAGACTGCATGCTTGATCTTTCATACAATTAAATTTCTAATCATCTGAACAAAACACATGACCTTGTATTTGTTAACGACTACCTTACTTCTAATGTCTCTGTCCCTCCTTTATTTCTTCCTGAGGATGTATATGATCCTGCTTTAGAGGTTGCAATGTTCAATTGTAATCCTCTCATTTCGTGCTCATCAGCCAATAAGCCCCGCAGTTGCTTTCGCCGTTGCTTTCATTGCTGAATCAGCGTATTTATGCAACCGATTGGTCTTTCTTATATGACTTGGTTGATATGAATACTGCAATTATCTGTTTTTATAACACCCTATACTCCCTCTTAGATATGTGTATTCCCTGGTTTACTTCCAGATTGTCAAATCTAAAAAATTTAAAATCTAAATATTTTAAATATTTAAAAAGTCTGGTTCGTGTACAGACTTGGCTAAGTATTCCATAGCCAAGTCGAACTACTTTCTTCTGAATTCTCACTGCTATGAAAATTATCTAACTAACTAACTAACAAAAGGCAATTTGCCCAAAATCCGAGGCATTTTTACAATTTTGTAAACTTAAAAGCTAGCATTGACTCTGATTCCGCTAATTTTTTCCAATCAACTTACTCTTCAATCTGTACTAATAATATTTCTTACCATTATACTATTACTTCCTCTAGTTCCATATCTCCTCCTATTATTTCACACTCTTCTCTCCTTTTAGCTATAAATTCCTTAAAATCTTCTTACTCTCCTGGGCCTGACAATATTCCTAGTTTCCTAACCAAGGAATGTAGTTCTTCCATTGTTCATCCATTGCTAAAGCTTTTTTATCTATCCTATGAATCTTCTGTCTTTCCATCTCTTTGGAAATAATCTTATATCATTCCTTTTCACAAGAAACTTGGAAAGTCTGATATACAATACGAATAGAGTATCCCTAATAAAATCTTTGCTTTCAGGATACCTTCGGGAAGTCACTGACCATTCCCAGCTAAGAGCAGGGGCATAGCTTGTCGGACAGGCTGTAAATTTTCCCCCACTGGGTCGGTGATTTCCCATTACTTTTCTCGTTGTCCTATCGACTTAACACTCTATGTATCTAGCTTACATTTCTTTACTTTATTAACAATCTTCTCACTTGATTTTTTCCTATTTATTGTATTTTCCCTATTAATATAGCAAATTAAGATTATTTTTAATTTTGCTTAAGAACGCTTTTTCCCATTCACACTACAAATAAAACACCTCCATCGGTCGGTGATGCTATTTAGAAAACTGTGTTCTCCAACTAGACTTTTAGCATATAATTACATTATGTATTGTATTGAATAATGAGGAAGACACTCGTTTTGTCGACCATTAATAAAAAATAAATAAATTCCCGAATAAAGTACCAAGACTTATTTACAAAATCTTGTATTATTTATTTTTTATTTTAGTTGGAGCCCATTAGAAGACAAGCACATAGCTGAAACAAGATTGAATCATATATTCAAGTTATTTGGAAAAATTCAGTGCTTTTCAATGGATGTTATCGGAAAACAGGTTATTTTTTCAGTGATATTGGAAAAAATCAGTTAAAATTTATATATTTTTGCAGATTGGACCCGCCTACGTTCATCTCGTTTTGCACTCACCCACATTTGGAAATTTTCAAATATTTCAAACCATTACTCCAGTAGAACCACTATTACAAAAAGTAGTACACAGATTTTACGCTTCCAGATTAATGGCACCAATTATGAAGTTTTTAATTTTTGGAGAAACCGTTATGGTATATAAATTATTTTTAAATTTTGAACTACATATTCATATTACTACTTATATTTTTTTACATCAAGTTTGAGCGGGATTTGCATATATGGAATCATAAAATGTACCGGAATAACCCTATGCTTCTAATGGAAGAATCCTCCCTAAAAAAATTTAGGAAATGGTATGCACAGTTCTACACGGTAAACAGTAAGCCATTTCAATTAGAAACCAATAAAAATTGGTAGTAAACAAAAAAACAATAATACCGAATATGTCAATATCCTATAATAAATTCAAAACTGTTTGATTACAAAAATATCTGTTTTGATATAATAAACATGACGAAAAAATAAAAACGGATCCTAAGCGGATCAACAGACGATCCCCAAGCAAAGTCTCATAATATTCAACAGCATCACGAATGCAAGAGAGAGCGGAAGACCGAGAAGGAGATACTAAAAATAGTCCGTGCCTTTGGAAGTTATAAATTCCTAAATATTCCTTGCTTTAGTGGTTAAGATTTTCCGTTGTACTCTTTTCTTTTGTTCGCCAAAGCTTGCAGACGCGTGCTTTCAAGTGATATAAATTGCAAATAAATTGAAAAATAAAATAAAGTAATACATAAATAAATAGACAAGTATGTAATGAAAAGAGTTTATTAATATTTGAAATGTTTTCTTTTTTTCTTATTAATACTTTTTTGTGCTTCCTCAGTAATGAAGCAGATTTTTTGAGGAGGACAAATAGAGAGTAAAGATTTTGGATTAGTAACTTCTATAAAGACAGTAAAAATGTCTTTGAAATTGAAAAACCGCCAATATATTTGCGAAGCTCTGCATGTAAGACGAGGCGCAGATAAAAATCATAGCGTTAATAAAATTAGTAGCAAAAATAATGTAGTAAATACAATTTAATTGTTGAATGAGAACTTGAAGAATTTTTCAAGGATGCTATCTCACCAGAAGTTATTAACAAGTAAGGGGTTCTAGTCGGAAGCGCCCGAGCCCGCATTACTTGCTGACGACTCCACTCAAAAGCCACGCCAGCCAAAAAGAAACAAATAAGAGGTTCTAGTCGGGAGCTCCCGACTAGGGGATACCCTGAACCCTCTTATTCCGACACCAAAAAAATTAATAAAAAAAAAGGTCCCTTGGCAGGGCTCGAACTCGCGACAGACCGCACCACTTGCTATGCCTCTACTCAACAGCCACACCAGCAATTAAGTACTTATGAGAAAAAAAAGGAACTATAATAACATTACAAATAAAAGATGCAATTACCATGCTATTAGAATGCGAAGCAGACGCGCATGAATGTGTGTGTGTACATGTATACAGAAGTTCTTAAAGCTGCTGCCCCATTCAATTGCGCAGTTGCATATAACTTTGGTTTTTCTTAACCGATCTTTATGAAATTTTCTACAGTATATCTTATTGTACCATAGAATATTTGTGTATTCTGAAAAAGTCAATTGCATTTAAATTGTGGTTTAAATTGGTTGGCAATAAAAGTTGGGTTATTAACTTGATTTATAGCTCTGCGGTGGAAGCGGGGAGGTGGCGATAGGTATGAAATGAAAGATACTTGAAATATCTATAATATTCTAGAAGCCTAACATCAAGTTTGATGACTCTTGCTCTTCGTATTTACCCAATTTGCTCAAAAAAAAGGGTGTCGATATCGATATTTATCGATTGCTTTGAAACTGAGTAAGTTATCGATTATCCGAAACAAATTGGAGCACTAGCTAAAATTTCAAGTCTCTAGCTCTGATAGGTTCTGAGATCCTTGCGTTTATACATACGGACAGACGAACGGACGGTCAGGCGGTCGGACAAGCAGACAGTCGGACATGGCTAGATCGACTCGGCTATTGATGCTGTTGTTATTGCTATTTCTGGCTGTTACATAATACATAATACCCTTTTTACCCATTTTCAATGGGCTCAGGGTATAATAATAAAGCTCATTTACCATAGGAAGCAACAACAAATCAGCTGCAAAACAACAACAGTGCGCATGAAAAACGATTTTTTCCTCGTAGTCTGTTTTGATTGTTAAACATTTTGTGCAAGGTTTTGAATGCATATAAATCTCAGTGCAAAGAAAAGGGGCAGATAATGCCACTGTATTTGTTGAAAGTTTATCTGTTGTTGCTACAAGGCAGCGCGTAGAAACAACAGCAATACAATTTGGGTACCTAATTGTTGTTGCCGTGCCGAGTTCCGGCTCATGTAGGTAGCAAATTCGCATGCCAACAGGCCATGGCATTCAAAACAATTACGCACACGGCGGATTAACACAACAAATATGACGTCAGTGTATATACAGAATTTCTAGCAATTTGCGCTTGCTGCCAGCCAAAGCACGGTTTTCTTTTATAGCTTCTGTGTTTCTCAACCGATCTTGGGAAATTGTTCTACGGTAGATCTTATTGTGCTAAAGGTTATTTGTACTTTGTAAGGAAGCTACTGTCCGGGGTAGAAAACTCGGCCTCGCCAGGTTCAGCAAGCCTACAAGACATTTGTTAGTTGCTGTGATGGAGGTTTTAGGGAGAGAGGAAGTGTTACAAATATTGCTACTCTGACGACCGTGCTGACCTTCGGCATTCGATGGATAGCCCAGCGTTCTCTGCCGGACTCCGTCTCAGTCCACACGCACACAACTGCTGGGTTAATTACCATGAAGTTACGCTCTCGAAGACGGTGTTGAGCAACCGATCAGCAATGCAAGGTTGCTACGACTGCCGGCGGTTAAATTTAAACTTCAAACTATGCCTTTGATGGCTACATGGCTCTTTGCCCTTCGTACCTACTCTCTTATCTCAATAAATGTTTGACAATACTGATACTAGGAATGGCTCCTTGCCTTCTTAACTATCGATACTTATGACTAACAGAACAAAGAAACTATGTATCTAGCGGCTCCTTGCCTTTCTTATTACTAATACTTATGTTACTTAAAACTAGCGAAACAATGAAACTATGGATCTGGCGGCTCCTTGCCTTTCTTACTACTAATACTTATGCTACTGAAAAATAGCAAAACAATGAAAATACAGGTCTTGCGGCTCCTTGTCGCGAAACAAGATTGTGGGGTGGCCACTTTGGGTAGCCGCCTACGTCGCCCTTCACGTTCACCGCGACGATGTAATCTTCACTGCCATCTGTTACCCGGAAACGGGTTCGACGATATCGACTCAGGCGAATTTTTATTTCCCCTTCAATGAGATCCACTAAGGCCGCTGACAGAGGCATCCCATGGGGAAACACCCTCCACCCCAAGGGGTCGAAATTGGAGGCGGGGCTTCCGACGGTGCCTGTCGGCGTGAGATTTCTTGGCGCGTACTTGGGACTGGCAGTTAGCGGGACTGCCTCCGAACTCGGGTCCGCTTCCTCGTGGAGCACCGATTCCAGGCTCGTGTCCCACCCGTCAATTCCCACCCGTCAATCCACGATGACCCCCACAGTTCACTATCTGAGGGGGCTTGGGGGCAACTGCGGGTAAAACGGGCGCCTCAGGCGCCGGGCCAAACCTTTTGAGGATAGGACTTCCTCCCCGTCCGCTTGGGCGTCCACCTCGTCGGTTGTTGTCGGGACCGTCCTCTCAGGCGACATTGTCGAGGAGGATGCCAACGGGGTCTCTTCTGCGTAAGGTGGCAAATTTCACGAGAACGGAGCTTCAACGAACATGGTCGTCACTTCGACGACGACTGAATTGTACCCCGTTGTCACACACGAACTTCTTAGGTACGCCGAACCTCCTCAAAATCATTTCTCGGAACGCTGTTTGCAGATGCGCGGCTGTGGCCCTCCTGAGAGGGACCAATTCCACCAACTTCGAAAAGGCATCATGGAACACCAGTAACATTGTGTTGCCATGTTTCGAGCGTGGAAGTTGACCGACAAAATCCGTGCAGAGTACTGCCATCGGCTCTGATACCTGCCTCGTTAGCATACTTTCAGCCGGCTTGAGTTGCTCGCTCTTGAACTTCTGGCAGATTTCGTAGCACTTTACGTACTTGGCGGCGTCGCGGAACATACCCGGCCAGTAGTATCTCTGGGCCAACCTCGACACGGTTTTCCTCACGCCTTGATGCCCGGCCGTGGGAGCATCATGGAACTCTTGCAATACCCTCTGTCGCTGATCATTAGTCACACATAACTTCCAGGTAATGTTGTCGTCGTCGTCCGTCCAGTGTCCCAAATGCCTGTATAACTGCCCATTTTCTTCTATGTAGTCTGAGAACTTGGCTGGGTCTTCGGCGATTCTAGCACGCATAGTCGCGACCCACATGCAGGGTGACTCGGCAATCACTGCTTGCTGACAGGTCTCTAGAGGATGTCTTGATTGTGCGTAGGCCACGACGGAAGTGAACGTCAAATTGGAACTGTTGCAGTTCCAATGCCCATCGCGCAATTCTTCCTAAAAGGCTCCCGGTACCCTTCTAGGTAGCAGCACAACTTCCGGATCGACCATACTATTGCCAGGCACTCTTTCTCGGTGGCGGAATAGTTCACCTCAGCCTTCAGAAACTTTCGGTTCGCCTACGCTATCACCCGCTCCTGTTCCTCAATCGTCTGCGTCAGCACTGCGCCGAGGCCATACTCACTCGCGTCAGTCTGCAAGACGAATTTGGCGGAAAAGTCCGGACAAGCCAACACAGGGGCAGTCGTCAAGCTATTCTTCAATTGGCGCGATGCCTCCTCCTGTTCTTGACCCCAAGCCCATTTTCGCCCCTTCTGTAAGAGCGCTGTGAGCGGCTGTACCTGAGTCGCGAAGTTGGGAACGAAGCGCCAGTACCATGACGCTATCCCGAGACATTGCCGCAACTCCTTACAATTTGTCGGGGCCTTCAATGACATGTCCTAGGTAGACCAACCTCTGCCGGAAGAAGCTGCACTTCTTCCTATTCAGCCTGAGATTGGCGGAATACTTCTCGCAAATTCTCTACATGCTGTTCTTTCCTTGCCCCTATTACCACGATGACGACTAGGTAGGCGAACGCATTATGCGCCACTTCCGGCCCGATTCCCGTGTCCAAGGCTCGCGGAAAGGTCACATACGCCGAATGTAAGCCAAATGGCATCACCCGCCATTGGAAAAGACCTCTCCCATGGACTGTGAACGCCGTACACTCCCGACTATCGGCTGCCATTGGTATCTGCCTATACCCGTGCTTCAAATCCAGAGCGGAGATGAACCAGGCGTGACGCAACCTCTCAAGGATGCGGTTGATACGGGGGACGGGATAAGCGGAATGCGCATT